TCCTCCAACTACACCCTTCCAGCAGATCGGAATGGATCTACTTGGTAATTTTCCGCCTTCGATGTTGGGGAACCGCTGGATCATCGTCGCCACAGATTACCTCACGCGGTATGCCGAAACGAAAGCTCTTCCTTCAGGAACTGCTGTATAAGTCGCCAAGTTTTTCATAGAGTCCATCGTCCTCCGGCACGGCGCTCCCGAAGTTCTGATTACAGATCGCGGATCTTCGTTCATGGCCCAGCTGACGCAAGAGATCCTTCGTCTCAGTGGCACCGGCCATCGTCGAACCACTGCATACCACCCGCAGACCAACGGGCTGACCGAGCGACTCAACAAGACAATCGCCGATATGATCTCTATGTACGTCGACGTAGAGCACAAGACGTGGGACAAGGTGTTGCCCTACGTCACGTTTGCCTACAATACGGCGGTTCAGGAGACCACTGGATTCACCCCTCTCCGGCTGGTACATGGTCGGAATGTAACGACCATGCTGGACGCAATGCTGCCCCATGAGCCATCTCACAATGAGAGCGACGACGCCCAGGCGGTTGCTCAACGCGCCGAAGAAGTCCGCCAGCTCGCCCGACTCATGATTCAAGACCAGCAACGCGTCGACGCGGGCCGCTACAACCTTCGTCGCAGGGACGTTCACTTCCAGCCCGGAGACAGGGTGTGGGTGTGGACGCCCATCCGTCGCCGCGGCCTCAGTGAAAAACTGCTGAAACGGTACTTTGGACCATACAAGGTACTTCGTCGCCTCGGCGAGCTGAACTACGAGGTGATGCCCGACGGAACAAGAACATCATCACGCCGCCCACCACGACCTGAAGTCGTCCACGTCGTGCGCCTGAAGCCGTACTACGCTCGATAGGACTGTGGATCTTATATGCTTCAAGTGACTCTTTAGTTTGCCGTTGTTTTTATGTGCTTTGTTTTGTTTTGGGATGCATCGGGGCGATGCACTTTTTAAGGGGGGAGTAATGCCGCGCGCCAAGTAGGCAGCGCGGCCGTAGCCTAATGGTTATCGCGCTTGCCTCCCACGCGAAGGGCCAGGGTTCGATTCCTGGTCGCGACTATGCATTTTTGTTAACACTGTAATGTGATGTTCTGGTGAAATCGAGAACCGCCTAGCTGATTCGAGGTCAGAATGTTCTACGCGTCGAACCTTTTACGTCGAATGCTCCAGAAGCCAACGTGTGTACAAAAGCGGCTCCGCGGGCAAGCCGGAGCCAGTCTCGCCCCAGCGTTCGACTCTGCTGCCACGCCGACTTCGACGCCCGCGACGCTCTATTATTATCTTTTGTACTCTTTTATTTTTGGCACAAGTTCGCCACATTAAACGTTTATTTCCTCCTGTTTATTTATTGTTTTTTAGTCACCACCCGTGACAATATCGTACCAATGGCTAACAACAGGACCGAGTGCGGGAAGTAATGAGCATCAGTGGTAGGGAAGGTAAGGAATTAGGTTTAGAATTCAGTAGTGAAAAATCAGCAGTCATGATTTTTAACAGAGATGAAGTTGAGGGGCTGAATATACAGGATATTACAGTTGAGAGAGCTATAAACACAACTATCTAGGAGTATGGATATCTGATGGTGCGAAATATCTCAGGGAGCGTGAAAAGTATATAATAGGTAAGGGCAACAGAAATGCAGCTGCAATGAAAACTAGAGCACTTTGGAATTACAACAGGTATGAGGTGGTGAGAGAGATTTGGAAAGGGGTCATGGTGCCTGGCTTGACTTTTGGAAACGCAGTGCTATGCACGAAATCTGATGTGCATGCAAGACTAGAAATAAAACAGCGTGGAGTTAGTAGGCTGGCTTTGGGGGCACATTGCAAAACGCCAAACCAGGGAGTACAAGGAGTCATGGGATGGGCGTCATTTGAGGTCAGGAAAGCTGTGAGCAAGATAGAATTGGAGGATCGGTTGAGGCAAATGGATGGAAAGCAATAGACACGAAAGGTTTTCAGCTATTTATACACGAGGAGTATAGACACAAAGTGGAGACAGCGCACCAGAAAATTAAGAGGAAAGTTTTTAGGTTACAGTGGAGTTACGGAAGAGCAGGTCTCAGTTAAGAAGAAAGTTAAAGGGAAGCTGAAGCGGTTTTAAATACGAGAAAAAACAGCTGAGCCTAGTTAATGAAACCTCAGCCATCACGAATATCGTATTCGTTTGGTCATTTTCTGCGCGGATTAACCGGAACAGCGCTTTCAAAGTAGCGCCGAAGCCACGCCTCTCCGAAGCAGAGCGAAAGGGGAGAGAGGAGGAAGCCCGTCAGCCGGCGTCACAAAAGGACCGGGTGGGGGACCCCGCCGCGGCTGGCCGCGCTTTCCACGTAGGCTGCTCTAGTGTCTTTTCGAGCCGTTGTTGTTCTGCCGCTGCATAGCGCTTGCTTTTATCCGTTGACCGGTCATGCTATGGACTCGATCGCTTTACGTGCTAATTGTTCTCTTGTTTGTTCACGTATTCGCAGAATTTTCGTGGCACCGAAGCAACTGACTCGTGCTGTTGCACGGTGCCGTACTCGTGTAGCCGCCAGCTTTCATGAACAGCGCTCGTCGCAGTTGTTCTTCCCGCTTACTGTCTTTTCCACTTCGTCACCGAGATTTTAAGGGGGTAGGTTGGTTTGAGCAAGCACACCGTTTTTTGTTCGAAACGGGTTTCGGACGGCGCATATGAAAACTATGTACGTATGGGTTTGGGTCTGAAGAAGGTTCGCTTGAACCCGACGCTCTGCCAACCATTTTTGAAAGTAAGAAGGCAATTCAGCGCATTAAAAGTCACAAGCAAAGTGGAAACGTAGCTGGGTAGAAATTGTAGGTCGACTGTTCTAGAAAAAAGCTGTTAAGTTATTAGAATTGTGCAGTGTGCTAGAAAAGCCGCGATCATTTAGCCGAACAGCGGGTTTCTACTGGCTCTCTTGTGTTAACCGCCTTATTAGTGTGTTAGTGTTGGTTTCTTATATTGTTGAAGTGACCATATTTTCCGGATCGACTCCGGCCGGGGAAGTCTGGGAAACAAAAAAAAAACAAACAATTTTGGGTAGCCCAAGATTATTTTCTTTTGCTTTTATTCTACTCGGCTACCCAGTCCCTTGGGAGAGGAGGGCCTGCTCTAATAAGTAGTCATGCAATTCATAATGCTACTTTCACGGTGCAACTTGTTTTAACATCAACTTTTTTTTTACAGTTGCTGACATTATTTGAGGCCACATATTTTTTAAACGTAAACATAAATTTGGTTAAATTTTTCTTCCAAAAGTTCATATACTCTTCAGGAGAGCTTTGTGGAAATACAAAGCATGTGACCTTCTGTTCTGAATTGAGTTCTTTTTTTACAAGTTACGCAGTGTTTTCCGTATAAAGTTTGTGTAATGCAACAATTCTTTGTGCCGTAGAAATGCGATCGGACGATGATAATGCCTGGTGGCGGTGTGATGCAGTAAAAAAAGCTTGGTAGAAGTATGCGAATGTAGAGACCCAGGAAGCTTTCATGAATTCGACATCAAATTAAGGGGTGCCGGGCACACATCTCCGCTTTTTCTAAAGCTACAATGGCGCAATAGTTTGTGGCAAACAAACTAAACGCAGCAGAGGGTACCGCTATCACAAGGATGCAACTTCTGCGCAGTTATTCGCATAGTGCGCAAGGACATGGAGGTGGCAGAACGGCGACCCTATCTTATCACCCGTCTCATCTCAGGGGAAGCTGTCCCGTCGCCCGAAGCCGATTATACTATTCCTTCAAACAACTTCAGCCTTGATAAACAATGCAGCCTGCACGCTCACGCGTCCAGCAGCTGGCAAGCACGAAGGCCGATGTGTGCAGAATTCTTTTCCTCTGACGACCGTTTTGGAGAGGCTCACGCTAATCCGGCTTTAGGTGTCCCGTCAATAGCACTCCGTTTATTGTCAACATTTTAGGTTACAATAAGTAGCAGTAAGTACGTTCCTGAAGGTACAAAGCCAGCCATCTCGCGTCCGCGCAAGCGGCTCCACGTCTGTGTTTATTACTGCGGGGGTCATTTTCCTACCTTGCCAACGGCTGGAACGCGTACTTTGTCACGTCGAGGGTCGTCTGGACACATTCCTCTTTCGGATCCACCGAAAGATTTCGAAAAATCAGAAGCCGAACCCGATTTACGAGAGCAGAAGACCCGGCGCGCGGCTACTTCCGCAAGCGACGGAGCAAGCGAGAATCGAGATGGTCCTTTTATGACGTAGCGGCGCGTCACGCGTGGCTAGCCAATGGCGTGCCGCTGCGGCGATCGCTTCTGATTTCTTCGCTTTTTTTCGCGTTTAGGGATTATTTTGGGACAAATGGTTGTGATATTTGGACTCAGCAGGCACAAACACGTCAGAATCAACCATTAACTCATTTTTTTCGAAAAGCTCTTCAGCCTCCCTTTAAGGCCACAGAAAGAGATCGGTGGCTAGAGGGAATGCAGACAAAAGACGGCTCTGTAAAGCTATAGATTACGCAACACAGTTATTGCCAAATAAAGTATTTATGACAATTCTAGTGGAAGCTCATTGCTGTTTGAGGCAAGGACAGGTGTTTTGCGAACTAGAACATACAGAGCGAAGTACCAGGAAATGAATACAGTGTGCGCCGCCTGTCGAGAGGAGGACGAGACGGCTCAGCACTTGATACTCTCCGTAAAGGGCTTCACCCTATGCCTACCGAAGACAACATAGATTTAATAAAGTTATTGGGTCTTAGAGACAGCGAAGGAAAAAATGATTTCAAGACAGTAGATCTCACCAAGCAAAGATTAAGTGAATGGTGGCACAAAGCGAGAGAAAACTAGGTATTTTCTTATTAATTAATGGCAATGGCGTTTTATAGCCTCACTTTCTTTTCAGTGCCAAGTGAATATAGTTTTCACATTGAAATATTCTAAGCTTAAATGGTAAAACAAAATGGCTAGGTGGCGTAAGCTACCGCCCGATCCAAAGGGCTCAGCTGGATTCATCCATCCATCCATCCAAAAACCGCGTCAAGTGGAGCCACTGCGCACGCGCCCTGCCGACAGCAGCGCCACCGCAGTGGAATGACGTTAGCACGGCGTCGCTCATCTATCTTCTACAAAAATTTATGCAGCATAGTATCTTTATTTCACCCAATTTTTCATTCCTCCAATCTTCAGAAAATTCAAATACGCGCCGAAACCAAGAAAGCAATGCAGAACAACAAAGTATGTGCGCTTTCGGTTACTTTTTTTGAATAGACCGTTGGTTCTAGCGCAGACGGAAACACCCGAGTTACTGTTATACTTATGCGTGCTTTATTTCCAGATAAACATAACATAATTTATTATTGCCCACTTCTCTCCGATGTACTCTTCATTTGGATGCCGCGGAGCAGGTTGAAAAATTGTTTGCGAGTACACAAGAAAAAAAAATTCTCATATTTAAATTCATATTCGTTATTTATATAAATATCGTGTATGTATTCGCAGGTTGGCCCTGTCATTCTTTCTTCTTGTCATCGCCGAAGTAAAAAAGAAACCAGTTGTTTCATTACCAAAAGTTTGAATGTATGTTGTAATATATGTTATCCCGGTGTGTCTCAAGTACTTTTTTGGGATAATTTATTAGCATAATGTGCTGTTTGGTGAAATTTGTGCTTGCTCTTATTCTTCTTGCATTGTAAATAACTATAGGAGGTTTCCAGGTGATTTGGAAGCTAAGAAGATGCAAAAATTATATCACATCATAGCTATATAGAAATATATATATATATTTTATATGATCTACACGCTAAAAAATTGAATATGCAACTCAGAAAGCTAGAATCACTTCATACACTAACACCATTTCGAAATCACAAGCCTTTTTGTACTTGAAGTCGTGAAATTTAGAGTTTTTCAGACCTTTTCTCGAAGTTTTGAGTTTGTAAAAATTGCCTAATCATTTGATCGCAAAAAAAAAGAAGAAAAACTAAAGATGCAGTTACGCTTTATATATCTCCTGCAATGAAAGAAAGCACAGAGCAATCATTTCCCAGCACCTTCCTTTACAATATCCCGTGCTCCAACGTGGAATGTTGCAATCTATTATTTCCCATCCCGTACGCATTCCTTCTCAAACTTTGACGCGATGAAGCCCTAACAGCGAATGGCGAAAGGATGTCGACCGGTTCGTGCTCCGACCACAGAGGAACTCGGCAAGAAAGACGCAGCCTGCGGCAGCCAGCATGACCAGCCACATCTTGACGACGTCCGTGAAGTCCGCAAAGGTCAGCGTCCCGTCGCTGATTGTCTGGCCACAGCCTTCCCAGCTGCCCGAAGAGTCCTTCCACCATTTTGCCACCAGTCCAGAGTCCCGAAGCCACAGGATCCTCGAAATGCACGAAATCAAAATAATAATGCAAACATTATTTTTTTTTTTGCTTTTTTAATTGAGTGACCAAGTGGATAAAAATGCTATTTTATCGTAGTGGGAATATTTTGTATAATCCCTGAGAGCTTACCAAACGCAAAAAGCGGCCTATTATGTTCCCGCCTGTAGCTACGCGATTGGTTCCCCGGCGTTCTTGTCGGCCAGTCACGCAACCTTACCGGCTGAGGAACGAAAACAAAATGCTCGGGGTTTTCAGGACGGGGCTTCAAGAAGAGCAGGTGGCGCACCACGTGCTCTGCGCTTCTTAGGCTCATAGACTGGGGGAGAAAGCTGGCCGCTGGTGTTCACACTTTGAATGTCTGTGCAACGGACGCGGTAAAAGCTTACAAATATCACGCCGCACGTAGGACCAACACCGTAAGACCCTGCGGGCTCATCGATAAATAATAAATCTGCAGCTAGGGCGTGGAGCACCTGACGCAACACCATTTAGCGTGGGAGATCATTTCTATTTACTCTCCGTTACCGCAGCTAAAATATCAGCAGCGCGGACTGGAGACTCAGCGACGATACATCAACAGCGGTGAGTATAAAAACACGAAGTGACTTCACTTCAACTTAAATAATAAATGTTCTCTACATAGTGTAAACTGCAGTATGTTTAACCGGAGGCCGGTCAAAATGCGTCTGCGAACACTACGCGGGGAAAAAATAGTTCGTATTAGTCACTGTCAAGGAGCATATTTCACGATGTGCAACATTTACGATAATTAGGTGTTCGCGAATATTTGCCTAATTAAAATGTAATTTTTGAAAATTGCGGTAAAGCATCCGTTGGCAGAAGGAGAGCGGCAGGGAGGAGTTTCAGTTGTCACGCCTCCAGCGCTCTAACTTCGAGGCTGGTTCACAAACTTGCGGTGTTTTGTAATCGATTGCGCCGAATTATCTTGTAACAGTTTAGCACTATACTCGGCGACAACTTTTCTTGGCGATGCAGAGGAAGTTGACGATAGCCCACGCACAGCCTTATCCAGCGCTCAAAATTGGATAGAAAACACGTGCCTGTACCCTTCACTGCATTGCCAAGAAAAGTTGTCGCCGAGTATAGAGAGCCTGTTGTTCAGAGAACTTCCAACTGCTCCATCGGGGTCGCGTGGTTCATGGGTAGCGTTTGCAATACGAGCTGCGTGGTGGTGCCGGAAGTGTTGATCGTCGGCAAACGTCTCCGCGTTTCCGCCTGCTTCCCTCCTCGCCACGCGAAAACGCAGCGCGTGCGCACTCGCGATCAAACTCCGCAAGGCGACTGCCAGCAAATTGCAAACCCTCCCCATGGTTGGAGATGGACTCCCTCTTCGATCTAGGCTCTCGTACTGAACACACCGGCACACTGGCACACCACCTATCGGGTTGCCCTAGAAGACTGCAGGCCTGGGTATAACTAAACTGAAACGATTCACACTATTTGGGAGATAACATTTACCGACTGTATGGGAAGTAGTAGCTTATGACGTTGTCAGAAATATTTCATGCTGACGATGAAAACAACTTGTGCGTAACAAATTCAACAAGAGTTTTCGTTCAATAGAGATTGTTTTGAGTATTCCTTTTTTCCTCGTACGGTGCGGGACTGGAATCTGTTGCCAAAAAATGTTGTTTCTTCCACCGATCTTGAATTATTCCTTTTCCACCTGGACGCAACCTAACTATTGTATATTCTTGATTAGCATTATTGTTTTGGTGTTCCTTGCATTGTGCTTTGTTGCCGTGTTGCTTTACCTGTTGCTTTTACAAGTATAACTCGTTGCCACTCCTGTCAAAGTCCTAATCAGGACAGTATGTCAAATAAATAAATTATACAAATAATGAATCCATGGTTTGTTAAATGGTTACTCACACCACATTAGTGGGGGGGGGGGGGGGCGGTTGCGCTGTGGCATGCCCCTTTTGAGAAAAACGACTAGTTAAAAAGGTCTAGCATACCCAGCCAAGCCATACTTGCTATGGGGTGCTACCAGCCCCCTTGTTGGGCTCGGTGGTGGGAGGTGCGCCACGGTTTCTGAAATCCTCCCTATTTTCATGGGTTCCAAGTCAAACCAACCTGACCGGCCTTCCAAAAGGGTCTGCACCGAAGTTTTCATCCCAGACAAGACTCCATGTATCCATTCCAATTACCCAAAGTTTTTGGTTATTCACTCCGAAAGTGACAAACAGCTCTCAAAATTATCGCCCTTCCTCGTTGCAAAAGTACTTGAAAGTGTTGTGGGAAAAAGCTTCAAAGCCGAAAAATGTCTTCTGGCGACCGTCTGGTGGAAATTGAAACCAGTGAGCAGAGTACGGCGCTCCTTGCACTGCGTTCAGCGTCCAACCAGGAGGTGTCAGTCACGCCACATCACACACTGAATACGATACAGGGAGCAATCTCTGAGGAGGACCTTCTAGAGACAACAGACAATGAAATTGCTGGAGGTCTTTCTGACCAAGCAGTCGTGGCTGCAAGGCGTATCTGCATGCGACGAGACGGGCAGGAATTAAGAACAAAACACATCGTTCTAACGTTTGAAGCCACCACACTTCCTGAAACCGCCAAGGCTGGATACCTCCACTGTAGGGTTCGACCATATATCCCTAATCCCCGGAGATGTTTCAAGTGTCAGAGGTAGGGACATGGCTCCCAGAACTGTAGCGGGAAAGCTACATGTGTGAAATGCAGTAAAACTGACAATAAGACAGATCCCTGCACAAACAGCGCACACTGCACAAACTGCAACAAGGCTCACCCAGCATACTCCAGATCATGTAGAGTATGGAAAGATGAAAAAGAAGTACTGACTCTAAAAGTAAAAGAAAACTTGTCATACCTAGAGGCACGCCATCGTTTTGCTTTCTTGCGAAAGGGCGGCTACGCGCAGGCGGTGCAGCGGGAACATGCACCACTGAAGGTTGCAGTGGCTACCCAGACGTCCTTTCTGGACTATGGGAAGCCACAGCAATCCCCCACGCCCAACCTTAAAATCGAGCTGCCCGGGCGTGCGGTATCGGCTGGGGGGTCTACTGCCTCCTCCAGCCAGACGACCACCCCTCCCGCCCTCACGGGGCAGCAGTCATTCCTAGTTAGCGTGGAGGGAGCTTCAGACGGCATCCCCTTCACAGGATTAGTCGGCAACGGCCAAGCCTGTCCGTAGCCCGCGGTCCCCTTCAAGGGAGAGGGGCCCACGCTCTCAGGAGAGGAAATCCTCATCCAAGGAACAGCATAGTTCCTGTGCCACTCCAATACCCAAGGTGGAGGAACGGGAAGTCTCTGGCGCCTCCCTGCCTGGCACCTCCGCTGCCTCTTTGGTTGGAGGTGGTCGTGGCCGAGGCCGGGCTCCTCGTGGCCAGCGTCTTTCCATACCTTCTGGGAAGGCCTCGCCACAGGACCCAGAACCTATGGATGAGAGTACCCAGGCCTCCTCTCATGCGTCTGCCACAGACGACACGGAGAGGCAGACTCCCAAGGCCCACCATAAAAGTAAAAAAAAAATAACACCCCGAAGTAAGAGTCTCCAACACATGGCTGCAACCTTTCTTCAATGGAATTGCAGGGGATTACTTACTAACCTTGACGGCGTTGAGTATCTTTTGCAGGAACACCAACCTGCAGCCCTGTGTTTACAAGAAACACATTTAATTGCCACGCACACAAACTTTCTCCGAAATTTTATTGTCTTCCGGAAGGACCGCCTGGATGCTTCCATTTCATCTGGAGGAGTAGCGATAGTAGTTCCAACGCTGGCTGCTTTTACAGCTATACCCTTACACACTCCTTTAGAAGCAGTGGCAGTGCGTGTTCTAGTGCACAAAGCCAATTCGGTTTGTCCACTATATTTATCACCCTGACAAGCTATAACAAGTGCAGAACTTCACTCTGTTTTAGATCAACTTCCAAAGCCCTTTCTTTTGATGGGGGATTTTAATGCCCACAATACCCTTTGGGGTGGGAATCGAACTGATGTTCGTGGAACAATACTCGAATCAGTTTTAACTTCTCGAAGCCTTTGTCTTTTTAATACTGGTACTCCAACTTATTTTAGCGTTTCATCCTCGTCATCGACTCCCATCGACCTCTCCATTGGTTGTGCTTCGTTGCTGCCTAACTTTTCGTGGAGTGTAAACCAGACTCCCTATGGCAGCGACCCCTTTCCCATTGTTCTGCGAAACACGGTCTCCTTTGAGTCATTACAAACTCGAACTCCGCGTTGGAAGTTGGAAAAGGCTGACTGGGTCACTTTTAAAAAGGAGTCGGAGTTGCACTCAGACACACTTGCTAGCTTAGATGTTGATGAAGCCTGTGAAGTACTGACTAATGTAAATGTCCAAGCGGCACAGCACTCTATTCCAAGAACGTCAGGACGTTTACCATTAAAACCAAAGCATTGGTGGAATGAGGAGGGTAGCCTAGCTCGTAAGCAGCAAAACTCTGCATGGACAATTGTGCGCCACTACCCAACTGTTGAAAATGTCATTAAGTTTAAAAAGCTACGTGCTAAGGCTCGCAATGTAAGACGCCAATCTAAAAAAACGACGTGGATGTCGTATGCTTCCTCAGTCAACAGTTCCACAGGCATAAAAGTCGTATGGGACAGGGTTCATAGAATTAGAGGGGATTACCGTGCATTTACTCTCCCTCTATTCACATAGATGGCACCAGTGTTACCACACTGGAACAGCAGGCGAATATTCTAGGTGAACACTTCCAGTGTGTCTTGGGATCTGACCATTATTCAGGCACCTTTCTAAAATACAGGCTGCCAAAGAGAAATTACCAATAAAATGCACCGGTGGTTCTAACAGCGCTTATAATCATCCATTTACCCCTGTGGAACTGACGATCGCCCTTGACAAGGGAAAGAACTCGTCACCGGGGCCAGACCTTATTCATTACAGTATGCTTCAGCATTTAAATCCTGCAGCATTAGACACCATCCTATTGTTTTTAACTGTGTGTGGAGCAGTGGAACT